CGCGGAACCGCGAGAGAGGAGCCGGCCGAGCCTCCGCCGAGAAGCCGCCCCTGAGCAGCTGCACACACCGCGACCCCGGTGCCGTCCGCCCCGTCCGCCGTCCGCTCCGGCCGCTCGCTGGCTGCGTGCGCGCGTGTGGAGTCGTGGCACTTTCTGCCTCGGAGCTGGCGAACGGCCCCCTCCGCCGGGATCGCCGCCTCCTGCCTTCCCCACCCGGACCAGCCATTCATCGAGCTGCCTCTTCCCATTGGTCCACTAGCCGCCACTCTACTGGCAACTGTCCAATCAGATCGCGGACTGCCGCTCCGCGGCGGCGGCCATTGGGTAAAAAGGAGGGTCTACGTCTCAGCCAATGGGAGAGGGGAGGAGCTGCGGGGAGCCGCGGGGGGCGGGGTCGAAGAGGGGCGGAGCCGCGCAGCGCAGCTCTCAGCTCTGCGCGGGGGGCGGGTCTCTAACGCCCCGCCCATCTAGGGAGGTCGTCTGCCGGCCCCGCCCACTCAGGGCCGCGGCTCTCCACGCCACCGCTTTTTCCGAGTCGGCTCCGCCTAGGCAGATGGATTGTGGTTCGAATCCCCATGGCCGCGGGCTGCTCTTCCCGACACTGCCGGGCTTGGGTGGCGATGGGTGTAACCCCGAGGATTGCATAACCCGTGAATAACAGGGGAAATGCTTTATTTAAACCCAAGTAACTTGACACAAAGCACCAGCCCCTGGATCTAAAGACAAGTTCTCCAAGGGTGAGAGCAGGAAGAATAGGGCTTCTTTATCTGCAAACATTTTTTCTAGATGGGATTTTCTTGAATAAATGAAAGAACTGAGGTGGAAGATCCAGAAAGAACAAAGGAAATTGAGGTGGACTGCGTATCATTTCGTTAGGGAAGATCTTGTACAAATCACACAGCAAGAGTTACAGCAGGACAGCCGGCAGTGGCGGGAGGTGGCACGCCTTTAAGCCCAGTACTCCGGAGGCAGAGCCAGGTGGGTCTCTGTGAGTTCAAGGCCAGACTGGTCTACAGAGCAAGATTCAGGACAGGCACCAAAACTACAAAGAGAAATCCTGTTTCAAAAAAAGAGTTACATACTTCCTGTAACATTTCATTCCAAGTGATGGGGACCATGAGAGAAAATCTGCTGGCAATCCAGGAAATTGATCTAGTGGTATTCCAAATATTAGCTCCAACACACTCTCTCTTAAAAAAAAAAAAAAAAACCTATTTAGAGGAGGGATGCATACGCCACCATATGCATATGCAGCCACTCAGAAGAGGTGGTTCTCCCCATCCGTAGTGGATTCCAGGGATCAGACTCAGGTAGTCAGACTTGCAGAGCAAACACTCTTACCCTGAGCTGTCTCAATACCCACTTAAATTGAAATAATTTTAAGTTTTGGTGCTGTTTGTTTGTTTGTTTTGTAAGAGTCTCACTATGTAGCTGTCCTATAAATTGTTATGTATAACTGGGCGGTGGTGGCACACACCTTTAATCCCAGCACTCCGGAGGCAGAGCCAGGCGGATCTCTGTGAGTTTGAGGCCAGCCTGGGCTACCAAGTGAGTTCCAGGAAGGGCGCAAAGCTACACAGAGAAACCCTGTCTCGGGGAAAAAAAAAATGTTATGTATAACAGGCTGGCCTTGAACTCACAGAAATCTGCCTACTTCTGCCTTCTGAGTGCTGGGATTAAAGGCAGGAACCACCTTGCCTGCTTAAATTTGGGTTATAACCATTTTTTTTTTTTGAGACAGGGTTTCTCTGTGTAGCTTCGCGCCTTTCCTGGAACTCACTTGGTAGTGCAGGCTGGCCTCAAACTCACAGAGATCCGCCTGGCTCTGCCTCCCGAGTGCTGGGATTAAAGGCGTGCGCCACCACCGCCCAGCTGGGTTCTAACCATTTTAACAGTATCTCTTAAAATTATCCCTTTGAACCAGGCAGTGGTGGTACACGCCTTTAGTCCCAGCACTCAGGAGGCAGAGGAAAGTGGATCTCTGTGAGTTCAAGGCCAGCCTGGTCTATAGAGTGAGTTCCAGGTTAGGCTCCAAAGCTACACAGAGAAACCCTACCTCAAAGAAAAAAAAAATTATCCCTTTGAGCCTACACCAAGACCAGTCTCTCTCTCTCTTTTTTAAATTTATTTGATTTTATTTTATGTGCTTTGGTGTGAAGGTATCAGATCCCCTGGAACTGAAGTTACAGACAGTTGTGAGCTGCCATGTGGGTGCTGGGAAAAGACCCGGGTCCTCTGAAAGAGCATCCAGTGCCATCTTTCCCCAGAGCCAGCCTCTTTGAAATGAAGTTTCTCTCTGTCTCTCTCTGTCTCTGTCTGTCTCTCTCTGTCTCTGTCTCTCTGTCTCTGTGTGTGTGCGTGCGCGTACGCACAGAGGCCAGAGTTTGATATCAGTCAGACATCTTCCTCTATTGCTCTGGACCTCATTCTTTGAGACACTGTGTCTGGCCCTGAGTTCACTGCTCTGGCTACACTGGCCGACCAGAAAGTCCTCCATCTCCACAGTGCTTGGATTACAGGTGGCGCCTGCATTTTTCAAATTCATTCTGGGAATTGAACACAAGCCCTTCATGCTTTCACAGAGAGCACTTTACCGCTGAGCCATCTCCCCAGCCTCTAAAATGTCGTTTTCTAAGAGACCAAAAGGACTATGACTGTCCCAGCCTCTGTGTCTGTCCAAGCTGTTGGTCATCGCTACTGTCCAAAAGCTGTTGGTAAAAAGTAAAACTTTAGGGGGAGAATGCACAGGGGTTAGGCTGAAACTAAAGCGTTCATTTCTAGTTTTAATCTCAGCAGTTCCTTAGCAAATTAATAATTAATCAGCAGGAATTAACATGGATTACCTTTCCACACTCAATCATTTTCCAGCACCGACACTCACTTGAAATGAAATTCAAGGATTCCAGTTTCTGGCCAGCAGTTGCTACCAACTAGTCTGGCTGGACGATGAGCAAGGCATTTACCTCTCTGAGTATAAATGGACTTTAAGACGGTCACTCTCTCTTCTGGGGTAAGTAAGCACATTCATTCACAAATTCATTCACTAGTGTTTGCTAGTGCCTGGGGCAACTAAAGGTTGAGCTTGCAGCCCAAAGCGATACACAGATCCACCAAGGGCCCAAAGACTTGTCCATGGCAGGTTGCCCTTTATCTACTTCACTGCATGTCTTTAAATTTTCCCAGAAGCAGACCCTGGCAAGAGGAATTGGTTCAAATGTAGTAGTTCTTCAACATCTGATGGAGATTAGTTCCAGGACCCCCTTTACCAGGTTGCAGTGTCTGGGGATGGGCGAGTCTCATACAAAAGGATGCGCATATAGCCTCTGCACACCTTCCCAGTTGCTTTAAATCCTCTCTGGACGCCTGACGGCCAGGCAATGCTGCATGAAGCGTTGTGATACTGTATTGTTTAGAGAGTCATGACAAGGGAGAAAAATCTGCATGTGCTTGATACAGACAAGTGTTTCCCAAAGAGTTTTGATCCTCTGTGGGTTAAACCTGTGCCTAGAGAGCTGTGGGTGGAAGGGCCGATGGAAATCCGTTTGGGAGACGAGCTGGGAAACACTGGTGGAGAACTGGAAAGGGAAAGACCCAGAGAGGAAGCCTGGTATCAAGCAAGCAGCTGCTGTGGTGTGGGGACAGCCAAGGCTTGTGTCCCTGGGGATGCAGAACAGCCCTATAGAACACACCCCAGAAAGCCTCCTCGAGAGGGATGAAGACAGGGCCGTTCATTACCCGTTTTAGTACTTGTTGGCTAGAAGGTTCTGCAGCAGGGGGAGAATTAGCTCACCCCACATGTCCATCAGTACAGAAAGCACAGAAGCCCTTGGTGGACTTGGGAGTGCCAGAGGGTGTGGCAGGGGCCCCTATCATACCTTCTACCTGGGGACCTGGCCCTGGCCCAGGGCCTGCACAGAGGAGGACCTGGCAAATGTAGGTTCTGTAAATATTATCCATTGGGCAATAGGATCCCAGAGTCCCCAGAAGTGAGGAGTGTTTACAAAAAGGGCTCTCTATCTGTTCCTTCCCCTGTTTCAATATTTGGCTCACGCTCTCACAATATTCATTTCAGGATGAATAGTGTGGCACGGTGTGAGCTCCGCCTTCCTTCTGCCCCTGTGTCTTCATCCTCTGTCACCATCCAGCTGTGCTATGCAGACTCCCATCCCCGGCTCCCCTTTGTCAGGCTTGGCCTCTTCAGCGCTCCCAAGGAGTAGCTGGAGAAACAGTCACCTCCAGAATCAATGACTAGAAGATGCCTTTGAGGGGGTGACAGGCACTCTGGGGCTAAGGACTTCCAACATGGGCCCCAGTCAGCTAAATCACATATTCCCCGGCCTTATGAGGACGATCCCATGTCACTGTCCAGCCTCTGGGTGCTATCTGCTCAGTGGCAGGCTCCAGGCTGAAGCCTAGGAAACAGGTCCTGCTGTCCACACATGTAGCATTCAGGTGTGGATAGGAAATTTCAACGCAAAGTGGGCAGTATCGTCAGAAAGGGTAGTCAGGAGACTCCAGATGGGGAGTTAACCCAGACACAGAGAAGAGGTGAGCAGAAGCTTGAAGGAAGTGTCCAAGGGACCCAGGCCAAAAGGTATGCAGCTGGCAAAGAGCAATGTGGTCAAAGGCTAGGTGATGAGAGACTGGGATGCCCAGGGCAGAGATCCTTCAAGACTGACCAGGGAGAGAAAAGGGAGGGAGAAACTGTTTCCAAAGCTGGTCACAGGAGAACAGGAGTGATCCTTGTCTTGATAGAATGATGGTTACATGGCTGTAGTAAAATTCATCAAATGCTACACTCTTCAAAAGGCTAAAACTTGGTTTGTAAGCAAATATACTTAAGTCAACCAGACTCCAAAAAAGAGACACATTAGGTTTTAGTTGCATATTTAAAGCAACTGAAGCATTCTTATTAAGGAAAAATAAAACACATAAGATTAATTACCAAGCATAGTCTATTAATCATGATAATGCTTTGATTTCAATTACTAAATTGTGGGTATTATTTTTTAAAAGTAGGCAGAAAGATAAAGATACAGTACAGTTTTAAAGGTGGTTTTGCTTTGTCAACAATTATAGAAGAATGACAAATGAAATTTCACACACACACACACACACACACACACACACACACACACACACAGAGTACTGGAGAGATGGCTCAGAGGTTAAGAGCACTTGTTGCTCTTGCAAAGGACCTGAGTTCGGTTCCCAGCACCCACAGGTGGCTCACAACCATCTGTAATTCCAGTCCCAGGAGACCCAGCACCCTTCTCCTGACCTCTGCAGGCACCAGGCATGCACATGGTGCTCATACATACACACCAGGCAAAACACTCATACACAGAAAATAAATAAATCTTTTTTAAAATTCAAGAAAAGTCAGGGTAAAATATATAGCACTTTTAGGGCTTATCATGAGCCAGGCATTGTTTTAAACACCCTGCAGATGTGTAAAGTTATCTAACCTTCAGAATGGGCCCATAAGGGAGGTTCTGTAACTATCTGCATTTCAAAGATGAGGAAACTGAGGCTCTGAGAGGGTGACCAACCTGCCGACTGTCCCAAGGCTAGTCAGAGGAGGAGTGACTGGCTGCAGAGCCCATACATATAAAAACTGCATATTGGAAGGTGTCCTGTGTCTCTGGGAAGAACAGAAGCGGTTAGAGCTAACTCAACAAAGGGTTTGTGACCATGACATCTAGGATCATTCCTTCATCATGCTCTTAGAGTAACTGAGACCCAGCGAGGTTGGAGACCCAATGGGCTGGGAGATGACCCCTCACAATAATTCAACTAAGAAGTAACATTAAAGCTTGAAAGGGGCAGGATGGGGAGGTAGGAGTGTGTTTAGAAGGGATGCAAATGAGCTGGGTGAACCCAGGTCAGGGAGAGACAGGAGTCACCTGTGAGCTGGGGTTTCTAGCCTGAGTGACAGGGCCATGGTGGTGTCACTTCTGAGACAGGATACGTAGCTGGAGAAGGTAACTGAGGGAAATGCACTTTACACACACATTGTGTTAAATTACAGGCATCTGAAGGAAGTCCTGAGCGAGATACAGCAGGCGGTACCTCACTTACTTACTCCAGCACACATCCTGAGACATACAACATTACATGATGTTATCCCACAAACAGCTTAAAACGTACCGCACAAACTTAGCTACAACATCTTTAGGTCATACAATTTTACAGGACCATATTGGATATGTACCAATGTCTGTCATTGAACTATTGTTTCTGTGGTGCTGAATTTCAGCGTCCATGACAGAGTTTGGAAGCCTAAACATGCAAATGGAGAGTCAATGATCTTGAGAAGGACAGCAATGGCCATACACAGAGTACAGAGCTGTGGGTACTTGGGGACAGGAGAAATCCAGTGTCAAAGTCCTGAGCAAAGAGCAAAAATCCCACAAAAGAATGTATCAGTCAGCTCTTGCCACATAACAAAACACTCCAAAAGCCAAAGGCTTAGAACAAGTCTAATTTTACATTACATAGTTTTGGCTTCTGTGGGTTAACTAAGGCCTGGCTGAGGTTGGTTGGCTTGTTCACAGGTCTCTGAGTGGCCTGGCCACACTCTAGCCTGAGCTTGACTAGAGTATACGTACTAGAGGCTTACTCTGAAGCTCTTGGCTCACTTCCTCTTCCAAGGATCAGTGAGGCCAAGGAAACATTGCCATTGTGTTAGTGATGTAAGCAAAAGAAAACAAGCGGAAATACACAAGGTCTCCTGGAGATGAGGCTCAAAACTCTGTTGCTTCTACCTCATTCTTTTGGTCAAATCATGTCACGTAAGTGAGCCTGGATCCAAGGAGAAGGGAGGAGCAGGCAGAGATGAATGGTTGGCACTACAGACACCATGCACAGCTGAGTCCATGAAGGGGTAGGATGTAGTCAGACTTTTCTTCGGGCCATCAGCTCACAGAGACTTATTATTAATGATAAAAGCTCAGTCTTAGTTTAGACTTGTTCCTAACTAGTTCTTTTAACTTAGATCAACCCATAAGTTTTAATCAATGTTCTTCCACGAGGCTCAAACTCCCAATCCTACTTCCTCCAAGTCTGGCTAGCAACTCCACCTTTTCCTCTTTCCAGAGTCCTCTCTGTCCTCAGAAGTCCCACCTAATCTCTTCCTGCCTAGCTATTGGCCATTCAGCTCTTTATAAAAACCAATCAGAAGGCGCCTTGGCAAAGACACACAGTGTAAACAAATATTCTATAACAGTGTAAACAAATATTCTGTAACAGTAAGGGGAACTGTTAAGTCTGGAGAGAGTAGGCTTACAGAGCTGGAGGTTTCAAGGGGTGGGGAGGAATGATCAGTGTTCAGTGTAACCCGGAAGCCCCACAGAAGAGAGACTGGGATAGGCAGTAATTGTAGCAACTCGGCAGTCAGGGGGACTTGGGGAAACAGTTACAATGAAGAGGGTGGCTGGTGAAGCAAGCTCCAGACTGAGGAGGGCTGAGGAATAAACAGAGAAGCCACGAGCATTCCTTCATGCCACAGATGTATCCCATGAGTACCACTGTGTATTGATCACTCTCCGGGTTCTGGGGACACAGCCTTGAGTAAGGTAAAGGGCTCCCTTCCATGAGCATCGGCACAGTACGGTAGGGAGAGGGACCATAGAGAAGTTAGGCCGTGAACACACAAGATGAGTCCAAGTGGAACAATGAGTCACAAGGAAAGACCATAGGCTCCTGGGACAGAGAAGGGTGAGGATTTGGAAATCGGAGTGCTATGGGTGTAAAAATGATCAGAGGAAGACTCTGTGGCAGGGTGAGGGGTTTGGTTGAGACTTCATAAGACATAGATCTTGTCTCAGAATGGAGAAGAAGGGGTACAGAAACCCTGGGGCAGAGGGAAGCTCAACCAGCGGTTCAGGGAACAGAAGGAAGGCTGGCCACTTGGCTAAGGCTTAGGGAAGAAAGGAAGACAGGGCAGATAGGTATGGGGGAGATGCCTAGGGGTATGATGGGATGAAGGACCCAGGGGAGCTTTACCCAAGGGAAGGCAATCTGATCTGCATTATAAATGGTCACATTATAAATGCTGCAATAGGCAGAATAGATTGTATGGTGTAACCGAGGATAGGAAACATGGGAAGCTGGGGCAAGATTCCAGTCAAGGTATTGTTGATGTTGTGTTGGTAAATATTTAACCATTGGCTTTCATAGGTGAGGCCTCCCTTGTTTATAGCATTTGCCAATTCCTGTGGTGTAAATACTCGCTTCAGATCCCTTTGTGTTCAAGTCAAAGATAGGGAGAATTCTGTAGTCATATGCCACTGTAAACTATCTAGACTATGTAGACATGAGTAAAACAATGATATTTAGTATTTATTATCTTTGTTTTTAAAGTCTACCACATGGCAAATTTTAGATGATTTAATTTTTAATGATGTTTGTGTTTAATAAATGCCTCAAAAAATTCTTCTAAATGTAGCAGTCAGTTCTCATAAGTGAGCTAATTCCATTACATCACTTAGCAACTGAGCATAGTATTCATCCAGACCACAGTAGGATGTACGTGTGAAAGTGTAAATGTGTGAGTATGAGTGCAAGTGTGTGTGTGTGTGTGTGTGTGTGTGTGTGTGTGTGTGTGTGTGTGAATGTATGTGATTATGTGGTGCTGTGGGATTTCTTTCTGTATGCTGTGAATATGTGTTGCTCTGATTGGTTGATAAATAAAGCTGTTTGGCCAATGGTGAGGCAGAATAAGGTTAGGCGGTACATTCCAACTGGAGAGGGAGGAAAAGGAGAGGGGAGATGGAGGAGACGCTGCGACCACCATTAAGAGAAGCAAGGTATGAAGGTACCAGTAAGCCATGAAGCCATGTGGCAACTTAAGATAAATAGAAATGGGTTAAGTTATAAGAGCTAGCTAGCAAGAAGCTTGAGCCATAGGCTATCCAGTTTGTAAATAATATAAGCCTCTTGTGTTTACTTGGGACTAAGCAGCTTCAGGACTCGAATGGAAGAGATTTGTCCTGACCGCAGGCCAGGCGAGACACAGGAAAACTTCTGACTACAGTGTGGGTTTGAGTGAGTGTGTGTGTGTGTGTGTCTGTGTCTGTGGTGAATGGGAGCAGGGTTTTAAAATATTAAAAACAATGAAATACTAAATCAGGTGCATTAGCATACACCTACAATCTCCACCTCAGGAGTCTTAGGTAGGGGCATTGTGACTTTGTAACCATCTAGGGGACATACAGAGACAGTACCTTAATCCTCCCCTGAAAATATAATAAAGAAAAATAATGAAGCAAAGCGTGATGTTTATTCCTGTAATTCCAGTAGTCAGTAGGCTGAGAAAGGATGTTGCTGTACATTTAAAGCCAGCCTGGAATACATGGTGAATTCCACGATATCATGGACTCCAGAGTGAAACCCTATCTCAAAAAAATCTATAAAGAAAACAGGAAAAATGAAATATCATTCATGTGGGGGTTGACATTTCCAGATCCACTGAGGTCAGTGTGTCTCTATGCGATGCATCATTGCCCAGACCCAGGCAATACCTTGATTCTGGTAAGAAACTGCCACAGATCAGATTCCCCCAGAAAGAGACCTTAGAGAAAGACATAAATACAAGAAGTATACAACAGGAATATCCAGGGGGAGAGCAGGACAGGAGACAGGGGGAGAAGCCAGTACAGAGTACATCGGAGAAACTACCGTGGACCGCTAAGGCAGAATCCCACTGAGGAGCCCCAGAGATGGTGTGGGATGTGCCTCAGGAGAGGGCAAACTGAGATGCAAGGAGTGAAGTTTTTTTTTTTTAATTTAATTTAAATTTACTTAGTGTGTATGCCCACACACATATGTGTGCACAAGTGTGGAAGTCAAAGGACATTCTGAGATTCGGTCATTTCCTCCACCATGTGAATCCTGAGATTAATTGCAAGTCCTCAGGCTTGGCACCCAGCACCTTAACTTGCTGAGGTGTCTCACCAACCCAGGAGGGAAATCCTTGTTCTCCAATGTCTGTCCATCCCTGGTTGAAAACTATACCAGTCAGCACTAACTCACTGGTATTTCCAGACCACATACCAAAGAAAGCACTTAGTTTCTGGGAGGGAAGGTGTTGGGGAGGGGGGAGTGGCCGGGGCTATTTTCAGAGTAGCATTTTAAATGTTTGCAGTTGCATGCTTGTGTTAATCATCTTGTTTAAAGTAATGGAGGAAGGTAGCCTGTGTTTGTAATAATGGGCACAGGAGCTGTGGGCAGGACACCGGCAGGGTCTGCTTCATAACTCGCCAACAGCTCATGAATGAATTAACAAACAATGAATGAAATCAGAGCCTTTTATACCTAAATTTAGAATGTAAAAGCTTCAAAACACGAGAATCCTTCTATTCCCCAGTCAGCACATGCCTCCTGCACTCTTACAAGACCTAGAGGAGAGAACTTGTGTGATCTCTTAGATAATTTAAATTCTGCAGCTGTCCTCTTCAGAACCAGAGTAATATTATACACAGAAGGCAAAAATCTCTAGACTATAGTTTCTAAAGAAAGATAAGGCAACATAAAGTAGATAGTAAGTTGAACCAGTTTGCCAACATATGTGGTATTGAAAGGTAACTTAGGTCAGAATGTTTGGTTTGTTGTGTGGGTAGAACTGGAAGTAAGCTAAGAGGACTTTTGTAAATGGCAATACTTGGTCCAAAGGCTGGCTCTAAGTCCTCCAAGTAAACAGAAGAAAACAAAACAATAGATGAATCATATCAACATGTACTTGGTGGTTTCTAAAATGCTTTGCAAATGATCTTTCACCAGTCATGACAGGAAAGTGTCCTGACTGTTATCTTCAGTTTAGAGACAAGGCGCTCAGTCTCAGGGAAGTGCAATGGCTTGTCTGGGCCTTCCCACTTACAAATGACAAAGTAAGCTTTGAAGACTCTCAACTAGCATGTTTCCAAGGTACATCTCTCCACCCACTCTGTGGATCTGCCAATGGAGAATGGAACAGGTATAATAGACCCTTCATTAGATAATGAAACCTTTCTCATTTCTACCATCTCTTTCAGGCTCCAGACCATTCTTTGGATACTAATGAGGAGGAGGTAAGCTGTCAAAGGTGTTTTAATTGAAGCTGAGTGTGATGGCACATACCTGTAATTCCAGAATTTAGGAAGTTGAGATGGAAGGACCCCAAGTTTGAGACAAGCGTGAGCTACATAATGAGATCCTGTCTCAAAAAAGTTTAGCTGAATCAAAGACCCTGTCCAGTTGTGCTATTTAGCCATGATCTCCTAGGATCTGAAGAATCATACCAGTATTCTCAGATAAGGGGAAGCACCAATCCAGAGAAATAACGGTCCTGATGTCAGCCCGGCTTGGTAGATGCCACACACTGGACATTATGGACAAAGCCCAAGGGCCATCAGTTTGGAAGGCACAATGGGCCTTCATTGTTCTATCCCCAAGCAGACAGCATCCTTAAGCAGCCTAGCTAGGCAGACATCTTACCTCTTCTTTAATTTTACCAGAAGAAGGGATTTGGCCCAATGGTAAAGAGCTTGTCTAGCATGCACAAGTGTCCTGAGTCAATCCTCTGCAACACACACACACACACACACACACACACACACACACACACACACACACACACACACACACACGGTTGCCAGAAGTGAAGAGCTGTAGTCCTATAATTCCAACTTTCACTGCTCATTAACTTATTTGTTCACTCAAAAAAAAAAAATGTAAGGAGCCCTAAATTCACTGGTCTCTACCAGTTGCTAAGACTTCAACCGGTTGCTAAGACTTCAACAGAGTGTGCTCAGTCTTAGTGGCAGGCGGCGGCAGCAATGGGTTTATGTAATAGACTAAATTTCAACTGTGGGATACCCTCCACTGTTAGTGCACACAACAAGAGATGCGCAGGAACCATGAAGGGTGGAGCTGGTTTCCATCCCCTTTTCTCTTCCCAGTGCATCCTTCTGCAAACTTGACCCATGAAACCTCCACTCCCAGCTCGTTTAGCCCCACCTGCAGCAGCTTAGCACGGTCCTCACCATGGCCAGTTTCTTGCCTGACTTTTGTAGGCCTACCCCCACCCATCAGGTTCCACATCCTCCCTCCTGTGCACGCCTAGGGTCTCACACAGACACCCCACCCCACCCCCTCCAAGGCCACCCCCATCTTCTCACCTTTCAAGCCCTGCCTTCGGCCATTTACTGTGTAACTATGGCTAAGTTTTCCAAGCACCCTCTTGTCATAGGTAGGAAACATTTATTTGAACTGGGTTGTGCTCTGTCCTTAAGAAGCCCGTGAAGACCTTTCTTCCACACACTGCTAAATACTTTCCCCTTGCCCTGGCTCCCCGGAAGGCTGCCACACAGAGTATAACCTGGAGACTCTATGTCTAGGAAGCCACAGTTCAGCAGCAGTAATACTTAATACTTAAAAGGCTGGACTTGTTCTTTTTTCCTCCTGAATTCCCTGTGATTTTAGTTCCGCGATAAGCCACTTTAAGCTCCAGGAAGTTCTTTCTTATGTCTATCTTAAACCACTCTGTCCTGGCTGTGTGCCTATTTCTTCCAGTCTTGTTCTTTGTGGCTTTATGGCAGAGCCGAGGCCTCTGCTCAATGCTGGGCCTCGGCTAGGGGATCATGATGTGGACAGTGGTTGATTAATAAGTGGCTGGCACTTAAACCTTATTATTCCATCTCCTCTTCCAGGTTCATCCTTCCAGACTTAAAACCTGCAGCTCCTCAGCCCCTCTTCCCCACTTCATCACTGCGTGGCTCTCCTCAAACTCTGCTAATCAGCTTTTTCCGTCCTTATTTTGTTTTTTTAATCATCAGTGAGAGTTTTGAAGACGATCCTTATGCCAGAAGCAAGGGGGCGGGGGAAGTAAAATAAATTCTAAAAGGGCCCAGCAGGGTAACAGAGCTCCATCTGAGTGTCAGGCTGACAGGCCCTACCACCAGCTGATACAACAGCCCCATCCCAGCTCAGCACAACCCTTCCCACAACCTATTTCAATTGCAACTGGGGAAGTCGGATTGGGAAGCAAGGGAGCTTAGCCTGCATCGCGAGCAGCCCTCTTTTTGTTGTTGTTGTTGTTGTTGTTGGTGGTGGTGGTGGTGGTGGTGGTGGTTTTTTTGTTTTGTTTTGTTTTTGAGACAGGGTTTCTCTGTGTTGTTTTGGTACCTGTCCTGGATCTCGCTCTGTAGCCCAGGCTGGCCTTGAACTCACAGAGATCTGCCTGGCTCTGCCTCCCAAGTGCTGGGATTAAAGGTGTGCGCCACCACCACCCGGCATTGTGATTTTTTGTTTGTTTTTCCGAGACAGGGTTTCTCTATAGTTTTGGTTCCTGTCCTGGATCTCAATCTGTAGACCAGGCTGGCCTCGAACTCACTGAGATCTGCCTGACTCTACCTCACTGGTGCTGGGATTAAAGGCGTGCACCGCTGCCACCCAGCTCAGCCCTCTTGTTCATACTGCTGATGGTCACTCTTGTTCATACTGCTGATGGTCACTCTCGTCAGAGAACTCCAGGTCTGGGCAAAACTTGGTGAAGTGGCTTTCACGTAGGCAGATTTCATTCCTCCTTCTTGTGCCATTTCCTTATGATCCCCCTGGAGCTCGGGGGTGAGGGAGGTGTGGGGGGGCAGGTTTGCAGATGTGTGTCTTGGTATGGGTGTGATGGGTGAAGGGGAGAAGATGACAGACTCACTTATACTGAAGCTTCAGGGACTTGTTATGCAATACCTTTCACATATGTTTTGCCCAATTATCTCCAATGGCAAGTGAAGGTGAACGCTGGGGTTGGGGGGACTTGGGTCATTTAGTTATCCTTTTCAGGAGGATGTGAAAGCCGGACATGGTGCATGCCTGTGAATCTAGTACTGAAGAGGCTGAGGAGGGAGGATCAGAAGGCACAGTGGGGGCAAAGTGACCCACGATGTGGCTGTAGAGCTCGACACAGTTGCTCACATCTCAGCTGTGGACGGAAACAGGGAAGAGAGAATGCTGACATTCAACTTACTTTCTCCTTTTTATTTTTATTTTTCCCGCCTTGGGATAGTGCCACCTACCTTCCGGATGGGTTTCCCCTCCCAGTCGGTCACCTCTGAAACGCCCCCACAGACACGCCTAGGAGCTGTCTGTGCCTCAATCCCAGGTGACTCTGAATACAGTCGACAATGACTATTGACCGTCACAAAGACCCATGTGATTTCTGGGTTCTCCAAAACACATCCAGGAAGTCCTTTCAAGTACTGTCAAATTGGAAAAGTTTACTGTAACTTGAGCTTTTATTTCAACTTTATACGTATGGGAGTATAGCTATGATGCTATGCTTAGACACACATGTGTGGGTGTGATGCTGCTCCTGGACACACGTGTATGGTGTGGTACTGTACCTGGGCAGGTGTGTAGGGTCCAGAGGAGGACGTCAGGCATTCTGCTTGTCACTCTCCATGTTATTCCTTTGAGGTAGGATCTCTCACTGAGCCTGGCATTAAGCTGATGGCCAGTAAGCCTCCGGTCTCCACCCTGCATAGCGCCGGGGTTGCAGGAATGCAAAGCTGTGTCTGACTTTCTGCCTGAGGGCTGGTGTTGACACTGGGGTCCTCACGCCTGTGCAGCAAGCTCCCTTGCCCACTGAGCCATCTCCCCAGCCCATTTTATTTCGATTTGATTAATATAGAATTGATACGTGTGAGTGCAGACAGTACGGGATATAGCATGAATCTTAAAAGTTCTTATTAATAAAATCAAACCTGAGCCAGGTATTAGGGTGAACTGGAAGATCAGAGAACCAGAACAAGCCACAGCCACCTCACCTCTCCAGATCCTCAGCTGGTCTTGTTTCCTCAGACTGGAGGCCTCTGAGTCCTCATCCGAATGGCTCTCAGCTGAACTGTGCTGCTCAAAAGCCTGAATGCTTAACCAGCCAAATGCTTCTAGTTCCTGGTCCTCAGGCCTTAGATATCTTTCTGCCTTCTACCACCACTCCCTGGGATTAAAGGCTCGCTTTCTGGGATTAAAGGTGTGAGTCACCAGGCTTGGCTGTTTCCAATGTGGCCTTGAACTCACAGAGATCCCAGATGGATTTCTGCCTCTGGAATGCTAGGATTAGAGGTGTGACTGTCACCATTTTCTAGCCTAAGTATCTAGTGGCTTTTCTGTTCTCTGACCCCAGATAAGTTTATTAGGGTACACACTATTATGGGGAACACAATACCACCACAGCGGGAGAACTACCAAGAAAAATACAAAAGGGAGTCAGAGAGATGGCTCAAGGAGTGGGTTCTTTCCTGGCAAGCACAAGGACATGGGTTCGATGCCCAGCACCCAGGTAAAAAGCTGGGCATGAAGGCACATGCTTGTAATCCCAATGCTGAGAAGACAGAGCCAGGAGGGTTCCTGGGGATTGCTGGCCATGCAGCCCAGATTAATTTGAAGCCTCAGGTTCCATTGAGAGAACCTGTCTCAAAAAATGATGGCATCTAAAAAAAATGACACCTGAAGCTGACTTCTGGCCTTCACACACATGCACATGTGTGTGTGTACACTTGCACATAAGTAAACCGATATATATATATATATATACATAACTACACATACACATGAACACAAAGAAAAACACATGAGATCCAACCTTCTGGTGAGACATTTTAATCTTTTCCTTCTACACTAGTTTCTTTGTATGAAGACTCATTGTCTAAATACACAATGTTTTAAAAGATTAGCTACTGTTTAAGTGTTCTGATGATGTACCTGGTTGCATTGTCAAGGCCTAGGGAACTGACCCAAACTGTCTTCCAGTTGGAAAAGCAGAAGTTTGAGGGCAGCCCCTCCAGAAACCTGGGGGTTCAGAAAAGGAGGGAACAGGCAGGGACAAAGAGTGTTCTGGAAATGTACTGGGTGGTCACTGGAGGAGGCGCCTTCCTGCTCTGCCCAAGTCACTTAAGACAGTGTTGGTGGCTGTCACTGTGAGCAGCACACGTGGCAGTGAGCTGGCATTTTCTAGAATGACCCACCCACAAACCTGGGCTTCCTGGCACTCCTTCAGCAAAGCAAACACCAGATCCTGAAGAAGCGCTTGCTGGCTTTCCTTCAGAAGTGAAAATGAATGAGGTCGTTCTTTGGTGTGTTTTAGAAAACTCCACTATGGTTTTGACAAGACTTGTGCCCATATCAGGGCCTTGCAGTGTCCTCAGTCTGACAGGTCTGAGGACACAGGTAGGGCAGAGCCGTCTAGCTCCATACCTGGCTGGCAGAGATGTCCACCCAGGAGGGACTTCCCCAGCTCCTCTCAGAGCACAGCCATCCCCGCAGGCCAGACAATGCCCTTCTTATTCCCCAGTCCTCACTGCTCGCTGGCCAATGCGGAGCCAGCCTTGTTGGCATGGCAAACATTTAGACCTGAAGCCGACAGACAGACACATCTCGGGCAGACTCCTTCAGCTATGGGTGGAAACAAGTAGTACTTGTTTCAGAGTCTCCTTAGGCAGGAGCAGTTGGAAAACAGAACAGAATACATACAGTGTGCAGCCCAGCGTCGGTAAATAATTTGCTTCTTCATTCAGGGCGTGACTTTTGTTTGTTTTCTGAAGCAGCAGGTCACTATGTAGCCCACGCAGGCCTCAAACTCAGTCTCTTCCTGCATCGTGCGCCCGAGTGCTGGCAGCATGCACCACCGTGTCCGGCTCGGTGTGTGACTTTTGAACATCTGCTGTGCTCCAGGGCTAAGGTTGAAGCAGTGAGCCTACCAGACACGAGCCCTCTGCTCAAAGAGAATCAGCACTGAGGCAGTAAGGGCTTTCTCTAACAGTGGCTGCCTCTGGCCTGCAGGTTCCTCTCTATCGCCTCCACTGGGGTCCAAAGCTTTGTGATGAAAATTTTCAGAAATAAATAATCCGTAAGTGTTGTGGAATATTCATTTAAGATGTGCTATATGTGTTTATGCTGTGGAACATTCATTTAATGATGCAAAGATGTGTTGCATTCCTTTATGTTACATTTGTTTAACTCTGTGAAGCTGTGTTACTGTGCCTGTCTAAAATACCTGACTGGTCTAATAAGGAGCTGAATGGCCAATAGCTAGGCAGGAGAGAGGGATAGGTGGGGCTGCCAGGCAGAAAGAATAACTAGAAGAAGAATGAGAAAGGGAGGAGCAAGAAAAGGAGAAGAAGAGGAACCAGGGGCCAGTCACACAGCCACACAGCCAGACAAGGAATAAGAAGAAAAGATACACAGAAACAGAGAAAGGTAAAAGCCCAGAGGCAAAAAGTGGATGGGATCATTTAAGTTAAGACAAGCTGGCTAGAAATAAGTCAATTTAAGGCTGGGCATTTATAAGTAACAATAAGTCTTCATGTGATTATTTAGGAGCTGGGTGGTGGGCCCCCAAAGAGCAAAGAGTAGAAAGAGTAAAAAAAAAAATTGACAACAGGTAAGTTTTAATGTACATGCCAATCTGAGCAGCAGGATGAATTCTCACACACAGGAACTACCTCTTCTTCCAGCATATCTGTACCGAATATGCTATCTGCCCATTAGGTACTTAGTCGCTTCGGGAAGTGGGGGTCTGAGCTCAGTACTGTACTGCTTGTGTTCAGACAACACTCACTTTACTTAATCACAGCCCAGAGCACCAGAGCAGTGATGAAGAGGAGATCCCTGGGTGTAACACATGGGAGTGTCTCTGTTATTGCAGAACTGAGACATACTCCCCCAGATACGGCAGAACTCTCTGGTAATAGAGCAGATTAAAGGGACAGAAAGAGGCAGTGGGGGAAGAGGCTATTTAAGGGTAAAGCCTCGAGTGCCATGAGAGATGGAACCTAAGCCATCTGAAGAAACAGGTACAGTAAAAGGCAGGACATGGTTGGTGCAAAGGCCCGGGGGTTGGAAGATACTGGACAATTTCAGGGAACTGAGTGAAACCGTGGTAAAAGAAGTGTAAGAGTGTGACAGTCGGTGGACTTCCTGTTGCCTGCAAGATGCAGCACTCTCAGCTCAGCACCACATCGGCCCGCACACTGCCGTGCTCCCCTTCATGATCATAATGGACTGAACCTCTGAAACCTTTCAGAGAAACCTTGTAACGTCTTTAACTATACTTTAATGTGAACTAAATAATGGCATCAGGAGCAGTTGAAATATACAGCAAATAAAGAATGTGTCGCACAGCCTTGAAACCATTGCAAATCTTTCCTGAATTTGCTATCCAAAGTTTCTGTTTCAAAACTTGAGCTTTTATTCTGCTTTGGTGTTTTTGTTTGGAGCAGGGAAGCCTCATCAGCTCTCACATGTGAAAAGTGGAGTCATCTTCCTACTTTCTTTCCTTCAAGAATATATGCATACTCTTCCTACCGGCAGGAATGGAACACCAAATCTTATTGACCCCCCCCCCTTGCCCATAGGTGGGTCATTTCAACTATTAGACTTCAACATATGTGTCAACTCCAGGGTTTGGCCAACACTTTGAAGACTTATGCTATGCTTTTTACCTGCGCCTACTCAGCTATCTCAGGACCAACTTGAAGCTGAAGAAGGAGAAAGATCTCAGAGATCGTGGCAGACCTCGCTGGTCTCCTCTCAAAGGGAGCCTCCCCCATACGGATACGGGAAAGGCTGGATTCCACACTTGTTAGAAGATTTTGGAGATGGAGGTGCTTTCCCAAAAATCCACGTGGCCCAGGATCCACTGGATATGGGGTGAAAGAAAAAAATGTCGAATGCACTGGCCATTCGGGTGGATCCTGAAGGGAAAATTAAATACGATGCAATTACTCGACAGAGGCAGTCCAAAGACAAGGTCATTCACAGCAAATATACTGACCTGGTTCCAAAGGTTATGAATGCAGATGACCCAGACCTGCAAAGGCCTGATGAAGAGGCTATTAAAGAGATAACGGAGAAGACAAGAGTAGCCTTGGAGAAGCCTGGGTCATGGAAGGTTGCTGTGGCCAGGCCAGTTCGTGCAGCCGACAAGCTGGCGCCTGCTCAGAATATTCTCTACACACCATCTCAGCAAGGAGTAGCATTCAACGCTGGAGCTAAGCAGGGAGTTATTCAGGTGGTAGAAATGCAGAAAGATCCAATGGAGCTGCCAAGATTCAAGATTAATGAGAAAATTCCCCGGGGGGCCACCATCCCCTCCTGCACCCGTAATGCATTCTCCTAGTCGGAAGACGACTGTGAAGGAACAGCGAGAGTGGGAGACACCCCCGCCCCTTGTATTCCCAACCAGAAGAACACAAAGGGTTACATAATTCCTCTGGATAAACGGCCGGCTGCGGATGGAAGAGGACTTCAGACAGTACACATCGGTGAAAACTTTGCCAAACTGGCTGAAGCTCTGTACATTGCTGATTGGAAGACTCATGAAGCTGTGGAAGTGCGAGCCCAAGTGGAGAGAAAGATGGCTCAAAAAGAAAAAGAGAAAACATGAAGAGAACCCTAGAGAAATGGCCCGGAAAGCCAGAGAGAGGAGAGCTGGGGTCAAAACCCATGTTTTGGGGATGGAGAAGCTAGTGAAAGGGATGAAATTCATCAATACAGGCGGAAAGAGAGACAGCAAGACTGGAGTCTTTCCAGGGCAGTTCCTGATAAGAGGTCAAAACTACAGAGAAATGAAAATTGAGATACCAGTGAAGTCATTGCTCTTGGTGTGCCCAGTCCTGGATCTTCCAATGAAGTTCAGTATGACCAAAGGCTCTTCAGCCAATCCAAGGTATGGACAGCAGATTTGCAGACAGAGAAGGTGAAATTTATAAAGTATATGATCAGGCCTGGAGTCGGTAAAGATATGGCTCAAAGTATCTACAGGCCAAGTAAAAATCTGGACAAGGATATGTATGGTGATGACCTAGAGGCCAGGATAAAGACCAACAGATTCGTTCCTGATAAGGAGTTTTCTGGTTCAGGCGGTAAACAGAGAGGTCGAGAGGGACCAGTTCAGTTTGAGGAAGATCCTTTTGGTTTGGACAAATTTTTTTGAAGAAGCCAAACAGCATGGTGGTTCTAAAAGACCCTCTGATAGCAGTCGCCCTGAGGAACATGAGATGAAGGCAAGAAGCAGAGGAAGGAATAGACAGGCTTCTCTTCAGAGCAAATGATCTCTTCTTATTCAGCAACCCTAATGATGCGAGTCATTGGGAAACCCTTTGTAAATGATCAGGATAGAAACCAAATCTTAGCGACAGATCCCGGCACCACTTTTTATTCCAGGAGATGGGAAGTTGAATACTGTCCTTTGGATTAGTTTTTTTTTTTTTTTTTTTTTTTTTGATTTTTCGAGACAGGGTTTCTCTGTGTAGCTTTGTGCCTTTCCTGGGACTCACTTGGTAGCCCAGGCAGTTTTTTTTTTTTTAAAGAATGGGTTATGTTTGTGCTTCTCCCACCATGCAGCACTTATAGGAAATACTGCCCTACACAGAATGAAGACCACTTCCTTGTGTGTGACACTTACTAACCCGGGGGTAATATTTTGTGTAAGAACTTCATGGATAAAATGATCCCCAGATGGTGAGTAGGATAATGTCCACACACTGGCACTGTGCTACCAAACGTATTTGCCGTGTCATGCTGTTTGGCCTCGCAGTGGGGAAACTAAGGTCTTGCTTAGTGCAGCTCTTGTTTATTTAGAAAATAAAAAAAGGAGTGGGTCAAAGAGAGACAAAGAAAGTTGGGGGCGGGAGAGACAGCTCAGCAGTTAAGAGTGCTCCCTGCTCTTCCAGAGGACCCAAGTTTGGTTCCCAGCATCCATGCCAGAAGGCTTCCAATAACCTGTTAGTCCAGCTCCATGGGATTGATATCCTCTTCTGGACTCCGAAGGCACCGTCACACATGTTGGCATGTACACACAGATGCATGCACACAAATAAAAATAAAAAATAAAGGAAGTCAAGCTCTAGATTTAGCATATGAATAACTCATCTATTACGATAGCGTGTTTAATAATTTATAGAGGGTTTCAAACATACACTATCTCAACTTAATAATCCCAACAATCCCATTAAACAGATAAAGAAATAAGCTTGAGAGTTTTTTTTCAAGACCACAAAGCTAGGATGTAGTGGGACAAGGACATTGGTCAAGAACTGTTGGCATAACTCTGGAGGGTACCACTCACGTTACCAAAAGAGGGCCTGTTTGTATCCAGGCTTGGAGGCTGTGCAATGAGCAGCCTGGACCCCAGACCTAGTGGCTCTGGGCTGTCTTAGAAATGTTTTCTTTGTATTTATGTGGGGTTTCCCCCCCTATGTTAAGGACTGATGGGAATATAAAGAACAAGGATTTGTCCCTGGGCTGGAATTATAGCTCAGTAATCCCCAGTCTGGTAGGTGGGGTGGTTAGGCAGGGAAGTATTAGGTGATAAAGATAGAGAGTATCCTATTCCTTGGTGAGCATATGAAATGTTATAGTTAAAAAAGAGATAGTGTAGCTGGGTGTGGTGGGATACTTCTGTAATCCCAACACTTGAAGGATACAGGCAGAAGGGTCAGGAGTTCAAAGCCAGCCTCTACTACATAGAGTTAGAGGCCAGTGTGGGTCACATAAGATTCTGCCTGAAGAAATAAAAGAAACAATGCATATAGGAAGATGGTAAAGGATATAAATAAATAATGTATTTGTTTTTAATCAAGGACACTGAGGGATTGGAGAATATATAGGGATAGATACACAAAGAAAAGGGTCTCTAGATTTCCTCATACTAAAAATCTAGTGTATTATAGACCATTCTAAGTGCTTGCCCCCAGTAACTTGCAGTTTAAAAATGGGAGTGCTTTATTATACCATAGAAAAAAAAGAGAGAATCTTGGTAAATCGAAAAAGAAGAAAAGAAACACCTAAAATATTATCCATGAAACACAATTTCTATCATATTTGGGGTATATTTATTTCTATTGTCCTCTAGACAAGCATCATGTATGCATATATATATATTATACATCATTGCATATACACAAGCACACAGTTATTCATATGTGTTTACCTTCTTGGGGTATAAATTATATGCTTTAAATTCATGTACTAAACTTTTTGTAGTATTCTTAAAATTTCTGTGTATGTGTGCACACATGTACTGTAGTGTGCAAGCAGAGGTCAGGGGACAACCTTCTCCACCTGGATCCTAGGGATGGAACTGAGTTTACCAGGTCCAGAGGCAAGTGGTTGCTTTTAGCTGCTGAGCCATCTCACTGACACAAACTTCATGCATCTTGAAAGTGCAAGTCAGGGTTGTGGATGTAGCTCATTTGGTAGAGTAGTTCTCTGGCGTGGGATAGGCCCTGGATTCAATTCCCAGTGTCCCTCCTTAAAAAAGGTACAAACCTATGAATTTGGGTAAGTGTACTTCAGTCATTGCCAGAAAAAGATCTAAAATATTCCTTTCATCCATAAGCTTGCCTTGTACCCTTCAACCTACCCTCCCCACCGCTGTATTCCAGGCTAGCCCCCCTATTCCAGGTGACCACTGAACTCATTTCTGTAGCCTCAAGCCAGTTTTGCCTGTTCTGAGAGTTTGTGTTCAGGGAATCATGTGAGTGTTCATGGAATCATGTGTCTGTAATGTTCTCTCTGGCCTCCAGTGCTTGGCAGGATTTTTTTTTTATTGTTTTTTTTGGTTTTTTTTTTTTGTTTTTTTTTTTTGGTTTTTCGAGACAGGGTTTCTCTGTGTAGCT